CTTAGTAAAAGAAATACTCCTGACTCATGTTATCTGCTACTCTGTATAAATATAACTCATGGTGTTATATCCTCTACAACACATCTTTAATGATGAAGATTATGCATTGAGTACAGAGGTGGAATTGGGAAAAGAGTCTTGCCCAAGTCATGGGTTAGTTTCATATTCCTTCGTCACAGTGCTTCTGATGGAGAAAAGGCATATTTCCATGATATATATATATTTTTTGCACTACCTGTCTACCTGTCTGTCTCCCCATTAGACAGTCAATCCAAAAGTATTGCCAGGACATACACAAAGCTTTTAATAAAATTTGTTGGTCTATTTGAAGTTGGCATGAAGTGGCCATATCTGTAATACATAAGCATGCCTACAGCTTTTCTAATATTTGCTAATTCTGACCGCAGCTCAAATCATCAGCTGCTCATAGCCAAATTCAGGCTTAAACTAAAGGAAGTGGGGAAAATCACTAGGCCAGCCAGGTATGACTTAAATCAAATCCCCTATGAATATGCTGTGCAGGTAATGAATAGATTCAAGGGATTAGGTCTAGTAAACAGTGTGCCTGAAGGCCTATGGACAGAGGTCGTACTATTGTACAGAAGGCAGTGAACAAAACCATTCTAAAGAAAAAGAAAAACAAGAAGTCAAAGTGGTTATCTGAGGAGGCTTTACAAATAGCTGAAGAAAAAAGAGAAGCAAAAAGCAAGGGAAAAAGGGAAAGGTATATCCAACTGAATTCAGAATTCAAAGAATAGCGAGGAGAGACAAGAAGGCCTTCTTCAATAAACAGTGCATAAAACTAGAAGAAAAAACAGAAGGGAAAAGACTAGAGATCACTTCAGGAAAATTGGAGACATCAAGGGAACATTTCACCCAGAGATGAGCACAGGAAAGGACAGAATTGGTAAAGACCTAGTAGATGCTGAAGAGGTCAAGAAGAGATGAAAAGAATGCACAGAAGAATTGTAAAAAGCAAACAAGAAAGATCTTAATGAACTAGATTACTACAGTGGTATGGTCAGTCACCCAGAGCCAGACATTCTGGAGAGTGAAATCAAGTGGGCCTTAGGAAGCACTGCTGTTAATAAATTCAGTAGATGCGATGGAATTCCAATAGAGCTATTCAGAACCCTAAAGGATGATGCCATCATGGTGTTGCATTTAATATGTCAGCAAATCTGGAAGACCCAACAGTGGCCACAGGTCTGGAAAAAGTCAATCCTCATCCCAATTCCCAAGAAGGGTAGTACTAAAGAATGTGCTAACAATCAGACAATTGCACTCATCTCTCAGGCTAGTAATGTCATGCTTAAAGTTTTGCGTGCTGAGCTTCAGCATTATGCAAATGAGAACATCCAGATGTCCAGGCTCGGTTTAGAAAAGAAAGAGGAACCAGAGATCAAATTGCCAACATTCATTGGGCCATAGTGATAGCTAGGGAATTCCAGAAAAGCATTCACCTCTGTTTCATTGACTATGCTAAAGCCTTCGACTGTGTGGATCATAACAAACTGTGGAAAGCTCTAAAAGAGATGGAAATACCAGACCATCTTACCTGTCTTTTGAGAAACCTGTGTGCAGGTCAAGAAGCAACAGTTAGAACCCTGTATGGAACAATTGACTGGTTCAAGTTTGAGAAGGAGTACGACAGGGCTGTCTGCTGTCACCCTGTATGTTTAACCTATACACTGAGCCCATCATGAGACATGCCAGGCTGGATGAGTTACAAGCTGTAATCAAGATAGGTAGGAGAAACATCAACAAACTCAGATATGCAGATGATACCACTCTAATGGCAGAAAGTGAAGAGGAACAAAAGAACCTCTTGATGAGAGTGAAGGAGGAGAGCGAAAGAGCCGGCTTAAAGCAAAATATTAAGAAAACTAAACTAAAATCATGGCATCCGCCCCCATTACTGCATGGCAAATAGAAGGGGAAAAGGTGGAAGTAGTGACAGATTTCCTCTTCTTGGACTCCAAAATCACTGTGATGGTGACTGTGGCCATAAAATCAGAAGACAGTTGCTTCTTGGCAGGAAAGCAATAACAAACCTAGACAGTGTGTTGAAAAGCAGAGACATTACTCTACCAACAAAGATTTGTATCAAACAACAATTTGTCAAGGCACTGGTCAAGCNGTTTCAGCTTCAGCATCAGTCCTTCCAATGAATATTCAGGACTGATTTCCTTTAGGATGGACTGGTTGGATCTCCTTGCAGTCCAAGGGACTCCCAAGAGTCTTCTCCAACACCACAGTTCAAAAAAGTTTGGTGCTCAGCTTTCTTTGTGCTTTTGGTCTTTTTCCTATAGAAGTTGGAACATTCTGGAAGTCTTCAACAGGGAGGATTTATGGCTTTTGTATATATGACTTTGCATTCACTATTTAAGAGGTGACATGAACTAAAAGCAGAAACCCAATTAAGAGTTCAGTGGAAATGGACAGGAAAAGAAAGATATAAAAAGAAAAGAAAGGAAAATGGACAGGGATGCTTTACACCTAAGACTCTCCTCAATTCTGAACTGACCTTAAGTTTTAAAAAAATGTCCGACATCTAAGCTGCAAAATTTTAAAAATTTTAGGTTTGGAAATCTATAGTTGTAAAATATACATCTAATTTGGCAGAGTAAGTAAAAACAACAAGAGCTTAATCCCAGGTTCAGTAAAAACAAGAGCCCCACCTCCCAAAGTAAAACAAGGCAGAAAAGATTACAGAGAAAAGTATACTGGGCACAGAGATGGCTTGTCTCAGGAGCATCATGTGGAAACCAGATACAGCAGGCCAGACCCAGACCCCACCTACAGGTAACCCCACTGAAAGAGCAGGTTCCAGGACCACAGGCCAGGTGGGCGGGCAGCCTTCTCCCGAGCAGAGCCCTGAAGGGCATGAAGCCAACAGCTTTCCCAGTCACTCAAGAAGCAGCCAAGATTGTGTAAGCCCTAATTTGCAGGACTGCAACGAGCTCACCATCCCAAGCCTGAAGCTGGGCCATTTGCACAGGGCTGAGGTTTGATTCAGAATTCCCTGGTAGGGACAGAGAGGAGAAGACAGGTTACATCATTAGTTTTATCTAAGCTTGAATCGCCTTAACTAAGTAATCCCAAATTTTGTAGTAATATCACTCCAATCTTAAAAGACATTCTATTAAGTGGGGTATTAGTGATTTATTTGTTTATGTTTTTTTAAGGAGCTAATTAGTCAACCTCATTTCTGGGCTGAGGGGTGACCCCACTTACTAAAAATATACATTCTATTAGTTTCCAGCCACAGTCCCATTTCTCTTGGCTCGACATCTAATGTTTTAAGACAAAATAGTTTCTATCACGTTTGATAGATTTAAGTAAAACTACATGACATGCTTCCATCAAAGGAAATTAAAATCATTCTTCAAAGCAGAGTCAATTTGCAATTATGACAGATGATGATTTTCAAATTTAGTTGAGATTCAACAATGGCACTTTGATGTCTTGGAAATAATTGACGTAGGAGTAATTCTCTATTTTAAACTGTGTTCTCCTTTCAATCTGGTTCTTCATAATAGAAACTCTCTACAGGGTCACTTATTCTTGCAGTTTTCATTTTGCAAACAACTTTATATCATAAATAAAAATTTGCTTGCCATGGAAAATTTCTTATTTTATAATAGAAAACATTTTTTTCATGTTTATATTGGAGAAAGTCTGGTGAGCAATTAATGTATATTGATGCATACTTTATCATATAGCTTATATGCCTTAGTTGACAGATAGTTCTGTTTCAAGCAAACATATATTACATTTAGTTTTTTATTACTTACAAAAATTCATGAAGACTAAAGACTCAAGCTAAACACTCAATTTCTTCAGGAATATCCAACCAAGACTATTATAAACTTGAAAGGAAAAGTGAAAGAGATGGATAGTAGGCTAACATCACGATCCTTACTGCAGATATTGAAGCATAGTTCTCCACTGAGGCATGGGTACCCAAAAACTCACTTAATGAAAGCTCATAGACAAGTCTAGCTCTTCTGGAGTTATAGTTTTAAAAATCTTTGACCTTATTACTGAGGGTTCATGACAAACTTTCCAGTGGTTCTCAGAGAAATGAGAAAATAAGAACAGGGCAGTGAATTTTTCATAACTATAAGCATTTTTCTCTTTTTTTTTTTAACATTTTTCATCGAAAGGATTGTCCTTAAATAGCAAACTGATCTTTTCTTAAGCCCATCTCTTTATAAAATAATTGTTATTATCATTGATAGTAGAATGTTTGTTATTTTTAACATCCTTACTTGGAAAAATTAAAAATAGTCAATCTTGTGTTAATCCCATTTTTAGTTAGTCCCACTAAACACCCAAAACCTCGAAGACGAACCACTACTGTAGAAAATATCAGTGGGAACTTCAGTGAATTTCCTTTCCTTCTAGCCCCAGGGCTTAAAAACAGGCATGATCAACCCACTGCTGCAATATTTAATAAAGAAAGTAGCAAAAGTCCAGCAAGTTGGAGAGAGTTCTCTAGCATTAAAGATTTTTCTTTAGAGGATAAATGTTATGCCCTGATTTCAATCAGTTATCACGGAACTGGATTACAAATATCACGGACTGCTGAAACATATTGCAACATAGTTCCTCAAAGCAGTATTAACTTACCTGTCATGATTTAATCATTTCTCAATCTGAATCCATCAGACAGCACAGACTTATTCTACCATTTGCCGAAACCGAATTTGGTATCATTTAGTTATTGCATAAAACATTTCTAGATCCTTCTGTCCCACTGCATAACCTTCGGTGAAAAGGTTCAGTGTCAAATGCTGAGAATCACTGCTTGTAGTTGGCAAAGCCATCCAGTATTCCTGGATCACCGGAAGCAATGAGAAACAGATAAGATTGAAAGGTATCCTGTGGGATGTGACAGAGTGTTGAGGAAATATAGGGTGTCTGCGAGTTACGTTCTAATCGGGTCATGGTGCATTTGACCTTCTATTGCATTCTTTCCCTTCTCCCCTTTCCAGTGAAATCAGATGAGTTACAGACAATCAAGAAAGAATTAACCCAGATCAAAACTAAAATTGACTCCTTGCTAGGCCGCCTGGAGAAGATTGAGAAGCAGCAGAAGGCGGAGGCTGGTAAGTGAGAAAGAGCGGCAGCCACAGACCTGTTGGAATCAAACCACTCACACCCGGTCGGTCAACAAGACAGAGCAGGTCCCGGCTCACTGGCTGAGTCTGACCGCATTCAGCACAGATACACAAATGTTGCATTTAAACTTAGAACTGCGATGATGGAATCTGACTTTTTACTTTTCAGAGAAGATGAGTCAACTTGCCTAAAATTCATATTTTTAAAAGGAGAGGGGAAAGGACAAGTATTTTGACGCTAATAAGTAACAGTTGGATTATATTGAAGGTTTATATCTCAATATCAAGTGAACTTTAAGAAAATTAAATCAATAAATTGAATATTCTATCAGGGCTAAAATTATATTCATATTTAATTCAATTAACTGCAGCAAAATTGAACAGATTTCAGAAGCCATGATTGTAAAGTCCCACTCTTAAATTGCTGCAGCTCCACAAAACTTCAGAACTCAGCTTCAGCCATATGCCTGGCCACCCAAGGCCGTGTCATTTGACTTAATTCTTTAACTTAACATCCTCTCTTTGAAATATCAGCCCTGACCCTAGTTCCATGCTAATACTCTTTATTTATTTATTTCTTTTGAATTGGAGGATAATTGCTTTACAACATTGCGTTCGTTTCTGCCATCAGCATGAATCACCGACAGGTACACGTGTCCCCTCCCTCGGGGAGCTCCCTCCCACCCCATCCAACCCCACCCCACCCCTCTAGGTAGTTACAGAGGGCCGATTTGAGTTTCCTAGTCCAATACCCTTTTATATGGCAACCGAGAGTTTTAAAATTATACATTTTAAACAGAACTGGCATAAACTTAGAGATGAGCTAGTGCCTAAATTGCAAATTGCATTCTGCTGGGTCTTTGATGTCTCAGAAGCTCCTTGAACATGAGCTGAGTGCTGAAAGGAGACGTTGGAGACAGAGGAACTCACGACTCCTCCAAACCCAGCCCTGTTCTCCAAACAGTGTGGCTCTACCTGGGTCTATTTTACACATTGAAATTCATCATAAGATTTCATTGGCCCAAAGAGCTTCACTTTTCAAAATTAAGCAAGACAATTTTGAAAACCGCTTATCAAATCCAGCTTTCTCATTTTGCAGATGAGAAAAGGAAGGCCCACGGAGGTAAACTGACTTTTCCATGACCACATAAAAGGTTTGTGATAGACCCAGAGTCTCAGAGCCAGGTCCGGTGAGGGAAAGCGGGACCTCCTCTGATGTGTCAGCCTCGGGTTCCGTTCGGGATCTCCCCGCAGTGAGGCTCCCCGGGTAGCAGCCGATGATGCGATCCAGCCTGTCTGTTGCCCGTGTCCCTGGGCAGGGGACCAGCGCCGACCTTCGGGTGGTTAGTGACGCGGGGTGGAGGAATGAAGCCGGTGTTGAGGGGCCGTCGAGCCTAATGGATGAGAGACGTAACGCTGTGGGTCAAATCCTCATAGGCCACTTAGCCCCCGTTTTCTCGTTTATCAAATGAGGACGGTAATGGCTACCTGACATTGTGAGAAGTGAGTCAAGTAGCAAATGTAAGTTACTTACTAGCCCAGAATAAATGCTGCAGAATTGGAGCCATTTAGTGTCCATAGAAATGTAAGCATATATAGCCAAATACTTCCTACGACTTTCACACCACCAGTTTTTTAAATCATAAGCCATGTACCTAGATTCTCACTAACTTATTGAGTTAGTGTGGAGGAGAAATAATAGATAAATAATAGACAAAATAAGATCATTTTTATTAAAAATTTCTGTCACATTTTCTATTGAGAAAAGATATGCTGCCTATACTTCTTAATAGAGAAATTTAGATTTCAGAAAGTTTTTTATCTGCTGTCTGTGGCACTAATCTAAACTGTTGCCGGAACTGAACTATCCTGTGATGTTGCCTAAATCAATGTTTCCCTTTGAGGAGCTTCTGTGAAATTCGTTATTATGTAAAACAACCCTTACAGCAAAGGACTTTGATAACCAATTTGCACTTCAGTTTAAAGGATTATGGAGAACTCATTTAAATATAAATCACCTCAAAGAGAAAAATGTGATCCTTGTTCCATCATATTATAACTTCCAGTTTCCTTCAATGAAAAATGCCTTCCACATATCTTCTTAGAAGATCATCTATAAACATGGCACTAAAATTCAAAGCTTGCATTTTCTTTTCATGAAAGGCTGTCACCTTATTTTTGTATGTGTTTCAACTTTCCCAGTCACAGGCAGTTATCTTTAAAATGATAGGCTTAAGCCTCTGATATTTATGTCTTTCCTACTTGAACATGTAGGAAGAAAATGGAATTATTTAATTTGTAATTTCATTCTCTTAGTAATTGTCTCCTGAACAATATTCATATTTATGGAGTTAAGATGATCACTTTCTAAATTTTCTTTATGAAAAGAAATCAGGGTTGTATGGTGTCTGTGCTACATGATGGAAAGTGGAAAGAAATATTTCAAATCTTTTTAAGTGCCCAGTACCTCCTTATTGAATTTAAGGGGATGCTCGTTTTATTGTTTATTTTATTACAGGCCAGTTACTCAGTAGTTAATATTCACTCTTCACTATTGCTCTTTTATAGACCTCTCATTTCCAGCTTATTCCATCTGATGACAAAAATTTCCAGCCTAGGATAGTAGCAGCAAAGAGATGGAGGGTTACAAGCAGGATAAACCACACAGCGTGGAACTTGTCCTGAGTTCCAGTTTCATGAGATCATCTTTTCCTTTTTTGTATGAAATCCTGAGCTATCAGGAGTAACTGTAATGAGGTTATAATGTCATCATTTTGGATTTTTTATGCCTTAAATTACTGCTAATAAATGTTTGCATGGTATCCTGTCTCTTCCTTTGAAGATACAAACTTCATGAACAAGGTCATGTTTTCACTAACTTTTCTAAATCTTCAAACACTGTGTACTATGTACTAGGCATGATTTAGCAAGTCATTTAACTTCTCTAGGTCTCAGGCCCCTCAAATGAAAACTAGAGGAAGGGATTATGGCCTCAAACATATATTCTAGCTTTTAAATCATGATTAATATGAATCCACTCTGTAAGTGTTATTTTTTCCTACTTGAATAATTCAAGTAACATTACTTTGGAATATGGTGACTATGGATTATTAAAAACAACAAATAACACATGGCAGTTTAGCCTTCAATTGTCCTTCTTAGATGATCCTTTTAAAAGAGAGTCATAAATTGACACATACGAAGAGTGCAGTTTACATGTGGTTTACACAGTGATGCAAAATGGCCATAAAAGGTAAAAGGAGTGAGAAGTAAAACTAAAGATGGTATCATACAATGGACAGTGACCTCTTTTAAAAAATCAAATTTCCTGCAAAGACTCTCAGATATGAAAAGGCAATCAAGCATTCTTTACTTCAACTTTATTCTCAGTGGTAGGCATCATGCATGACCAGTCAGACTCACTTGGACAATTCCAGTGAAACTAGCTAACCTATCCTACCCATTAGACCTGACCGTTAGAGAGGTCACAGCTCAGTCCTATAGGATAAATTCATCCTGCCAATATGTTTGATAAAAACTATAGAATTTTTTTAAATACAGAAATGTCCATCAAGAGAGGTAACACTTCAGTCCCATAGAATAAATTCATTCTGCCTATATGTTTCGTATACACAAAAAGGCAAAATGACTGTCTGAGGAGGCCACACACATAGCTGAGAAAAGAAGAGAAGCTAAAGACAAAGGAGAAAAGGAAAGATACACCCATTTGAATGCAGAGTTCCAAAGAATAGCAAGAAGAGATAAGAAAGGCTTCCTCAGTGGTCAGTGCAAAGAAATAGAAGAAAACAATAGAATGGGAAAGACTATAGATCTCTTCAGGAAAATTATGGACACCAAGGAACATTTTATGCAAAGATGGGCTCAATAAAGGACAGAAATGGTAGGGACCTAACAGAAGCAGAAGATATTAAGAAGATGTGGCAAGAATACACAGAACTATACAAAAAGATCTTCATGACCCAGATAATCACGATGGTGTGATCACTCACCTAGAGCCGGACATCCTGGAGTGCAAAGTTTGGTGGACCTTAGGAAGAATCACTACAAACAAAGCTAGGGGAGGTGATGGAATTCTAGTTGTTATTTCAATCCTAAAAGAGATGCTGTTAAAGTACTACACTCAATATGCCAGCAAATCTGGAAAGCTCAGCAGTGGCCACAGAACTGGAAAAGGTCAATTTTCATTCCAATCCCAAAGAAAGGCAATGTCAAATAATGTTCAAACTACCACACTGTTGCTCTCATCTCACATGCCAGCAAAGTAATGCTCAAAATTCTCCAAGCCAGCCTTCAACAATACGTGAACCATGAACTTCCAGATGTTC